ATGCGAAGAGACTGATTCGAAAAACAGATCAAAAACCGAAAATATATTCTGGGATTTCTTTCATATTAGCATTTCTTTTCATTATCTTCCAGGATCCTTCACAATATTCCAGCTTGCGCATCTCCCTTACTTATCACTCTTCCATGACTGTTGATTTAATTTAAAGCACGCCTGTGCAATTACGTTATTAGTTTGATGCTACTGAGCATATATTATATCGATGCTACTGTACGTGATTTATGGATAGATTATTATCATAATTATCACTGTTGCCATTATTACCATCTACACGCATTGGTCCAGGATATATCTGGAATGTAACTAAATCGCGATTTAAAACTACGCAAAGTTTGGAACAACTTCGTTCGATAGCTAACGTACAGACGTTTTACACATGAGGATTAATCAAAACTTATTTACACTCAAAATAACACAGCTGCTTTTTCGTTTATCATTCATCCCAGTGTGTATACCTTTGTTAACAATATTCTAACCAGAAAATTAAATTTTTGTTATTAATTTTTTAAAACTTTCTCCTTATCTTTAATTTGCTTAAAATTCTTATCTTTAATTCTCTTTTTAAAATATTCATGTTTCATCGTTGGTTAAACATCGATCGGAAAGTTTGACTTCGTCCACTTCGGTTCTTCTAAAAAAAAGATTGAAGAGTGGTTGTACCCATGAGTTAACTAAACTTCATTCAATTCGCCAATTACAAAGCTTACCGAGCTCAATGATTTCAATTGGTATGGAAAAAGCTGAGAAAAAAAGAGATTCCAACTTCATGAGCAATTTCATCGAATGTTATTCGACGGTCTTGTTCTACCAGGATTCGTAATAGCTACTGGTTTTGATCATTTTTTGCAGTAGATGATCTCTCTGCCTTCAAATCGTCTTCGAGATCTTTCGTGCACTCCTTGATTCAGTTGATCAATCCAAAGATAATCACTTTGAATGATGAAAAGTCCCCATACACACGGTGCAAAGATTCAGTGGAGCTGTTTCCACCCAGAAGTTTTATGTTGATTCTTATCTGAAATGCACTCATCTCGAAGGGTTCAAATATCTCACCAGGTAAAACATAACTAGCGATGAAACGATGCCATATCTGCTCAAGATATGATGCAAATATGTTTTGTTTTGCGTAACTGGGCATGGCTAGGATTGGCAGCATCAGTTTTGAACTTTTTGACTACCCTCATAATATTTTTGGCATATTTAGCTTAGTTTTATACATTTAAAAAACTTCAGCAACTTTTTGAAACAATTTCTATGAGATGATCACCATTAAATAAACTCTTTATAAGCTCTTTGCTTAACTTCAAAAATAGTGCGATTCAGTATATCAAGTGGAATAGATACGATATCTCTGCAAATACTTCTTAATTCTTCGACTGTATTTGGCTTTTGTTTGTCCACCATATTCTTGAGCTATCCTCAAGGGAAGTAATTCGCTAGCGTCATACCTAGAAATCTTGACAGCCAATCGATATTGTCGAATCTGAAAATGATCTTTACAAAAAATTATTCTCAAAGAATCGTCATGGACAGCTGCGTTTTATGAATTGTGGCACTATCTTGTTGCACCAACAGATGCATCAGATCAGAACTTGATGAGTCTTTCACGTCATTTTGCCGTATTTGATTTATCCTGTTCTTGATGTCATTGTTCTAAATGATTGCGTATGAAGTGTGCATTCGCTGTTTTAAGAACAATTCAACACAGCCACTGCTACTCAGTCATGAATCAAAAAGAAGCATATTGTTAAGGACAAGTTGAATACTACATCTCTTCATTCTTGTACATGCTTATATACGTAAATAGGCCCGGTTCATTCATTCTGTTCTTCATCGACAACTGCATTTAGCGTTAACGATAGCTATTAGTATTGGTTGGCTGCAAATTTCTGCGATGAATAGGTTAACACTGTGCTCAGTCAGCTTATCGATGAGCGAGCAGCAGTGCAGCAAGCTTTCTCTGAATATATCGGCCAGTTCCAGTGACATTATTACTTACGGCCGTATTATTCCTCACAATTAGTTATTTTCTAAATAAATTGATTTGCAATTGCGTACTCTGCTTGCCTGTTATATCCAAGTCGATCGCTTGATCGGTATTCATTGTAACATAATATTAAAGTTACAAAAAATTCGTTATTTGACGCCAAATTCATCGCATTCCTAAGTTTTAATGCTGTTTTATGTAATAATAGTGTTCATAATTTAATGACTTATTCACAACTTATTGCTGATTGAATAGCCTTCGTTAGTTGATGTTGACTTAATCCGAGCACAATTTATGCCTCTTCAAGTGATGCTGATTTCTTATGGTTGGCTAACAACGTACTCAATTCTGTTGAATCTGTTAACTTCATGTTTTGTCAGCCTAGGCTTTCCTTACTGAATATTGCTTTCTTGAATCGTTGCCTTTTGAGTGTATTTTAGCAGTACTGGATGTTCATCAGAGATCGTTCGCATAACGAATGTCAATGAAAGATTATGTATCACGAAAAACATGAAGTGGCATTTGAGAAGTGATTCAAATACTATTATTGAATGTATTGATGCAGGACACATTGATTCATTTAATAGCTGCATTTGATTTAGATCAGGATTTATTTAAGTCGATCTTTGCTTGAATAGTTCCTTCAATGCATCTGTCTTTATCATGCTTCCATCGATTGACGACCATCATTAAATCAGTCAGTTTATTCTTAGTCACTTTCACTGTCGCATGTGTTTGATTATGCCTTTATGCCCTTCTCTAGCTTATATAATAATATTAAGCCTAGCAGTAGCAATAACCTCAGCTAACCACATAACTAAAGAAGCTAGTTGCTACAAATCGACCACATCATTATTTAATAGAGTGGATAAGAGATATGTATATTACTGGATTGCTGTTATCAAATTTCACACGTGCAAATATAAATAACTATTTCGATGTATATCACTGGATTGCTGAAGAAAACAGCAATAAATGCTGAATCAGTCGACTATAATTTCAGATATTATCCACCTATCACATAACATTCATTTTTAAATCTCTCTATTGCTACTGTCTTCGATTATTCACATCGTCATTCCTGAGCAAATAGATCTTTGTTGAGAATGTTCGTATCAAGAAAGGAACGCTTTGGCTAGCTTTCCAGCAAATAATTCAGCAGAATTAACCCTATCCATAAAAAAACAAGAGCTTAATGTCAACTTATTGCTTCCTAGCTTCGTTAACAGTGCCTTTATATGCATACAAGAGCAGTTGTCAATAGGAATAAAGCCTAGAGAGTGATGAGAACGATGAAAGATGATATACGATGTCTGTTCATTTATTTGTTTCTTTCCACTCCAATGAATATTCTACCTCCCTTCATTCTCTGGTTTCTGTTCGTCATTTTACTCTCGACAATCACGAATACTCACCTCGAGCATTCCTCTTTTATTAGCTTTATCTCTTCTTCCCATTCGAACAGCAACGACAACCTCTTAGTAACGTGCTGTTCATCAATCATTCATTCAGCAAGAAGGTTTCTGTCTTCAATATTAATGGTTGAATTCTTCTTATTGTGTTTTTAAAAACATCAGCAAGAATAACGTTTGAATTTTATCTTTTATATACCAGTGCATGTTTAGTGAGCAGCTTTTATCTTTTTTCTTACATTTATTCATCCATTTATCTCGTTCATATCTCATTTATACATTCGGTTTTTAATGTTGAATCGTTGCATCGCTGAATCCATAATGACACATTTCTTTCAATTTCCAACTCTACGTTATCATCATATTTTCCAGCAGTTTCCTCTTTCTGCACATGCAGAAGGCAATTCTCGATGATAGTGATTGATAAGAACAGTTAGTCACCTTTGCGCAGTCCGAAACCTGTGTTTCCTTCCAACATTTCGGTATTTTATGTCACCGGTAAGGGAGAAGACCTTATAAGCGAAATGTGAAGAGACGGATGGATACTTTACCTAGAGGACTTGGGAAAACCGTTGAATGAAGGAACAATAAACAGTAAACAACAATAATGATCACAATGTCACCGAGCGTCGAGCATTAATAAGATACCAATTTACGATGATTGTTGACAGAATACAAAGTGGAGACGTTCGCTGATGAAATACTGGATTGTGACGACTTATGGCAAACTATTGAACTGAGGCGTTCACCTCAAGAATATGTTGTGAGGCTATCGCCCCTGGAATATATTTTTGAGGCTATTGTCTCGGGAATATAGTTTTGAGGCAAATGCCACCAGAAATAGAATATCCGAACGATTGCACCGAAGACGACCTATGCTACAGATAGCTCACTTTTTATGCAGTTTCGACCACCGAAGATTCCACCTCTTTCCCATGGATTTAGGCAGATGTTTTGACTGTTTTGTTGACTTTTCTTAATGGTTTCATTATCAGTCCTTCTGCTCCGAACGTTGTCCTTATGAATCGCAAAGAATTGCTTGAACGATTATCAGCTGCTTTGATCAGTCAGTCAGTTATGATGTTAAAAATGCAACACAACGAATGATTCATTCGCGTTTCGCGACACCACCATTGAGGAGCAAATAAGGAGAGCAAGAAACGCCTCTGGAGAGCAGTACGTCTTTTTTTGCAATCTGCATATTCCGTATATGTGTACTGATTCAGCACTACATTTATGCAGATTTCGATTCCATATCTATATAAGCAGAGCCATTTCTTACTCTCCTCATTCTTTTCCCGGTATTTTGGCCTACGCCAAAGTGATTGTTTTTATCAACTATTATCATCAAGAACTGACATTAAAATATAAACTTGTTTTTTGGTGCAACTATAGTATTACGAGTCATATATAAATCGTTTTGAAACGCTAGCATGTTTGAATGTCGTCAACATTATTTAGAATATAAAAGAAATTTTTCTCAATTCTCATTAGCGACTTAATTAGTACTTCATTGCACTTAAGCTTTATTGTGAATTTCTAAAATTTGGGAGCACAGTACCGGAATAAAGCACAGATGCAAGATGCATTACGCTGGAGCACATGTGCTTGCTTGGATGTCACTGCTGGTAGGTACGGGAACACTTATCGCTGCAATTGGCACAGACTTCTGGTCAACACATCGTCCAGTGGAAAGTGTTGGTTTGTTTCTCAGTGAAATTATTACTTCTTGCTGATACTATAGCTCATATTATCACTTTAACTGATACTATTAATATTATTGCTATTAACATCAGCAGTTCTCTTCGCTCATATGACCAACAACCGATCAGCAGCAGTACTTGTTGGAACAGTCGTTGGAATATCTGTCGTACCGTTATCATTTAACGATTTTTTATGAGTCTCCATGAAAGGCGTGAAGTTCATGTTCCTTTATTGGCATCAGCAATGAGAGCGAAGAGTTTCTGAGAGTTCTGAAGGGAGAATGAAGTGAATGCGCATCACACTGCAGATATAATGAGCATGCATCGCGGTCTATGGAAACAGTGTACGCGATATTTGATCGATACATATTGCCATAATCGTTTCTCGAAATTCACGGACGATGTGCTCGAAGTAATGCGTATCGGAGGTTTTGCTACTGCTGGTGATCTTTTTGATGGATATCGCCCACCAATCACCGCTAAAAAACTTCAAGGTACATCGTATATATTATATAACACAAAAGTAATTGTCATCATTTCAGTTAGGTAAAAGCCCTGAAAATCTTCGTTCTTCAATATATTATACAAAACAATGAATTCATCCATGCATTAGTGTATGGCACAAAATAAAGAAACATGCATCAGTTTTGCTATTCCGGCTTTTACCTAACTCCCTTTCAGAAATTTCGCATGTAATATACGAATTTCTCTTACGCTGAGCTCAAAGAGGAACTTGCATAGGCCGAAGACTGATTACGAGATTAGGCTGCAACTCATCTTCGATGATTTAGTGTCACTAATTTTAAGTCAAAAGTTTTACCGTGCGCATCAATACCACCTATCTGAACAAGATTTTCTCAAATCACAGTCAAAATAATCAGTTACGCGTTCAATTGCAGTGTTCGAATGGCTTATACTTGCATTGATGCTAATGTCAATTGGACTTTCTGTGATCAGTCTTCTGTGCAGTCCATGTTGTTGTAATCACTGCAGTTGTTGTCTCAGTTTTTTGGTCTTTTTTGCTGGTCAGTCGAACGAACATTTGCAGCATCTTTTATCAGTTTCTTCTTTATCTTTCTTATCAAATAACAGTATATAAATGAAGAAAGTGTTCAGGTATCTGCTCGGCATGTGCATCGATCTGGTATGCTCATCAAAATCAAATGGGTCAAACGTTAACATTCAGCGTACAACAGCCAGATGATCTGTCTTTGTATCGAATGGTGATGATGATTTCTCAGTTGATTGCTTCTGTGGATATGTTCTTTGAACTATGCTTTTTTTTTCTCCGCTTCCACTACATTCTCCGTCAGTCTATTACAGCGATATCAGCCAAGCATAATCAAATTGATTCAGATGAAAATTTGTTCGCAGTTTGCTGAAATTAACGCTGCTGCAGCGTATTAATAATGAATTAATCAGTGGGATGAATAACAGTAAATAACAATTTTGCAGCATAATCAGTTAGCCTGGTCATTTTATTTGGCTGTATGTGGCAGTATCTGTCAATTTTTGGGTGGTGTATTTTTTGCGTGTTCCCGACCACGGCAATCCTCTTCCGCCTACACGCATTCTGTTTGATGAAACCAAAGCGAGTCTTGTGAATACCCCCAAATGATATATTATTCACGAGTGCATCCACCTATTCTTTCCACTTCGTTTATAAGTAAGTAAAACAATTAGATTTCTTTGATGGTTTCTTTTCAAATTCTTTGTTTGTCAAAGAATGAAGTTATGTATTACTGGAAAATGAATATGAAGGATTGACTTATTGTTAAGAGAACTATGTACCGTGCAAAAAAATGCACATTCCTCTTATTCATGCACCATCAGTTAGCTGAATATCGAGCACTGATTTATTTATGATCCAAAAAAAACTTGATTCTGTGGTGCTGTTGATGCATCCAGTGTGACGCATAATTCATTCGAATTTGTTTGAAAAATCAGTCCAAGCCATTTCTATTTCATCCGAATGTTTATTAATTTCAGATGATACCTCGTTACCTCTTGTTGGTTGTGACTAAAATGTTAAATGCGAATGAAAGAACGAAAACAGTGGATCAATCAACCATACTTATTATGTACACTGAATGATATAAGTGAATATGAATGTGACGTTGGCCAACTTCAAGAAGTAATATGGATGATGGTGGTGATTATTACGGAAAACTAACGTCAGCATGACATCATAATCCATATTTGCAATGTTATATGTACTTATTTATTTATTCATTTAATTATTTGTATATATTACAATATGTATATGAGTAATTCAGTAAGTATATTACATGTTACCATTGACGTCCGTAAGAGTTCACTGAAGCTCATTATTAGAAAAAGAATAATTATTAAATGACAGCAACGTATCAGCATGGAATCAATCGAAATAACAGTCATGTTAAAAAAAGTTAACTGAATATTTATAAGTAAATATATATGTATGAAGAATGCAAAAAATTAAATCAATAATAATAATAACACAATGAAATGAGAACCCGTATGTAATAAGTTATGGAAACACACATCTTCCGAGATTATTGCAAATAGAAAATGAATTAAATAACGCTAAAATGATGAATGTATTTATATGTGTGTGTTACCTGATTATTCGAAGCATTTTGTCAATCTTAATTCAATGCATTTTCTGAATTTGAATTGTTTGATGCATGATCAATTGAAATGAAAGAGTATAAAACTGCACTGGCACAATGAATTTGTGCTCATCAAAAAGCGAACAACGAAACCTCCTAACTAGATAAGCAAGTGTCGAGCTTCATTTCGTGGATACGTATAATCTGTATTTGTACACAAATTGGCATGTTCTGCCGGTGTACCATAATCACTCGAAAGAATCAGTGCTTGGGGATATTGAGGCAATGCTTGCTTATTGTAGCGTATCTGTTGTGCTGTAGGAAAAGCATTTGTGCCGTTGCCGCCGCCCACACAACCAACTGACAGGCCACTGAAAAGGCAACAGTGAACTGATTGTTGAAGAATGAATGAAGTTGCTAGCTAACCTGCTCAATCGTGTCCTCTGTGGAGAGTATGTGGCAGCAGCTTGAGCTGAAGTAGCTGTAGCGGTAGTGTTGCCAACCGAAGGTGTTTGTTTGGGTGGTGATGGTGGATAGAATGCGGGCGGTGTTGGTTGTTGAATTAGTCTTTGGTTGATAGCAGCAGCAGCAGCAGCAGCAGCAGCAGCAGCAGCACCCTTCGATTCATTTGAATTGGTGACCATCGGTTCACTTAACTCCGCACTGAAACCTGCTGCAGCACAACATGGCAGTCGCTGATGAGCACCGTTAGTGCGTGCTTGGCTAGTGGTTGTGTGACGACAACTCTTCTCTGTTCGCTTCATACACTTACAACAAACACATGCACACACGCATAAGCAACCACAGCAACTCACCACCGCCATGCACATCAGCAGTAATGTCAAGCCTGTTAAGGAACCCAACGGATCGTCGTCCAGAACTGAAATTTTTTTGTTCATTTTTTCATTTATTATCAATAATATGGAGAGCAGCTAAAATGAACAAATATCATACAGTCACAACGATGTGCGATTTGACGTTCACGTGACAGATCTGATTCATCCTTGCAGTCCGGATAACGGTTACAGGCGAGTTCAGACGGAATACATTCGTGATTGGCGCATGTGAATTCACGTTGAGTGTTACAAGGTTCTGAAATTAGCAAACAGATATATTAGTCAATACGAAACTTGTTTCATTTGAACGAGACAAGTAGAAGAAAGAAGGCAACAACGGTAATTGGGCAAACGCAAGGAGTGACGTACCAGAGTTCGATTTTCGGAAAGCAGACCACAGAAGTCGGAAACCTTCACCGCTATGATTCGGTGGTAAATCCGCATCCGAATGCCACCATAAAGTGAGAGCATTCTCACTAGAAATGGCCAGTTCACTCGCATTCCGTATGATGCCACAAAACTGACCAACAATCGGGCCCGGCGAAGTATCTTCAGGGGTTGCGTCATGCAAAGTGCTCGGGTCAATCGCTTTCTCATGCTGAATGAATACATCTCATCGCTCAACGTTTTCACCGTTTAAATCAGCTAATCACCATAGAAATAAGTTTCTTGCATTAGAATCATCACGTTTGATTGATCCACAAAACAAGCCCTACGAATAATGCTTAATAGATAATGCCTTACGTCAAAAACATGTAGAGTATCCTTATCACAGTTCTGCGGATCACCAAGTACATTAAAATCCAGAACTCGTAAACGAATTCGATATCCAACCGGTGCAGTGATGAGTAAAAAGCAATTCTTTGACGCATTATACGGCAGTGTGCCATACAGTTGATGCGATATCAATAAGCCTGATAGACCAGAAACACGACGTTCCAATTTCGAACGACAATTATCTGTATAACTTGTACCATCAAAATAATCTGAAAAAAATCAACAATGTGAAACGTATTAGGTTGATGGTAAACAAACAAATCAACGAATAAATTTCAAATAAAAACTCACTGATTTGTGGATCGTATGTGAGCACGGCCTCCGCAGTGATGATTAAAAATGAAAAAAGTGTTGCTGTGCAAACTCTCAGACTCCTCTTCATATTAATTCTGCGATCGTTAACTATTATTCCACAAAGTGAAGATGGTATCTGGCAATATTGAAGAAAATATTATAAGCAATAAATAATACATGGTAATTATTAATGAGAAGGGATGATTTAGATATATAT